ACGCACGCACGCATGCACACACATACATACACACACACACACTCACACGCACACACACACACACACACACACACACACACACACACACATTCGCACTTAATACATACAGGCACACACAGTCACTAGATAAATAATATAATGAGATATATCACGTGTATTTGAGACTGCGGATGTGTGTATGTACACGTATATTATGTGTAACATGTACATGTAATTGTAATGACATAAAAAGGCATATTGTATACTTGTAATAATATCTCCCTCCTGAAGTCAAAGTACATAAAGACAGTACTAAAGTAAAGAATACTGATAGCTTCAAATATCTTGGCAGTCCCCTGTCTTCAATGCCCAAATCGATGCAGAAATAGCATACGGGTGACTTAAACCAGTGCATCCTTTGTATTGGAAGACTAAGAGTGGGGGTTTGAGTCCGCAGTGGCATTTGCACTAAACAAAACTTAAAGTCTACAATGCTCTTGTCTTCCAGCCCTGTTGCACAGGGCTGAGAACAGAACAGTGCACCAAAACCATGTAAAGACGCTGAATCATCCAACATGAAATGCCCCATGAGAATTCTCGGCATCAAATGGCAGGACAAAATACGAGACACGGAAGTTGTCAATTGGACAAATGCCGAGAGTCTATTAAGTTGTAAAGGACTCAACTTTGCAAGGCTGTGATCCTGTCATAAAAATGCCTGATTTCAAAATCCTCCTAAAGGCAGTATGCTATTCTGAGTTGTCCTCAGGGAAGCTTTAAGTTGGAGCACTTTAAAAAGCGCTACAAAGACAACCTGAAAATAGCTCTGAAGAAAAATCCTTTGACATGGAGAGCCTAGCTCCTGACAGACTCACTTGGAGACCAGCAGTCACAGCGGGCAGCAAATCAAATGAGGCTTCACGAATGAGAAATGCTGAATCCAAGAAGAAAGCCAACAAGCTGAGCACATCCACAAGGAGAAACAAAAGTTTTGAAATGCTCAAAATACATGGTTAACTTTTCTATGACAAAACTGGTCCCATTGGCCATACTAGAGGCCACAAGTCCTCTAACCCTTTTTACTTGTATTTCGCTTTTTATATCTATACATTCTCCTCTGCAGGTGCATTAATGACCGTGAGACATTGACGCCAAAATATTGTTACATCTTTCTCATGTTCCTATTTGTCACTAAGACCTGGACTTTAACAAACAAAGAAGAAAACAATATATCTGCGTTTGAGATGAGATGCTACCGCAAAATTGCCTGAATCAGCTTGAAAGCAAAAAAGACTAACAATGGGTGTGTGTCACATTCTCCACATAAGAAAACCCCTGCTTGATAAAAAGAAAAGAACAAAAACGCCACCAGACCAATGTGAAATAACTGCTTGGAGACTAGATGTGGGGCAATAAATATAAACACACACACACACACACACACACACACACACACACATACAGACACACTCACACACATATACACATACACACACATAATATATTCTCTGTTTACCTACATCACGCCTCCAGAAAAAACCCAACCACATCATCTAAATTTGCGGAAAACTCTATGCAGGTGGACAGGTGGTAGAGAGCGAGACGGGCAGGCTCAGCGTAACTATGATCTTCCTGCTTGTTTGATACTGCTAACCCCAATTGTAAATAGTTTGCAACGTTATTTTCGGACATGCTGTTAATATTGATTAAGATTCCGTATTATAATTTACCTTGTCTATTCGCTTTTCGCTACTAGTGCTTACAAATATAATGGCGACATAATATTATCATATTAGACTACAAAGCGCATAAGCGCCTTAAAAATGTTAGACTTAGGCCTAAATAAAATCGACCAACCAGGCATTTCCTCTACAATGACCCGCGACCACATCGTAAAATGGTGTAAATGAGCAAACAAAATTCCAGGTTATAATTTCTCTTTTTTTAAAGAATTTTAATCTCACTGCAGTCCAAGTCAGGAAACTACATGTAAATAGAAAGGATTCTTTTTTTTTTCTTTCGATTACTTCAAAACTGTGATGATAACAGATTTCAGTCATTACCTTAACAAGCAAACGAATTGTTGCTTGATCAATAAGCTTACTTCTAGCAGTATACACAACACTAAAGCCCATATTTACCAATATGTCCATAATTCAGGGGTGCGTGTTTGATGTGTGCTCGGAAGTGTGAGCTGCGTATTTGTGCGTAAAATCGCAAGCCCCTTTTTTACATAATAAGGTATATCGTATACATCCGCGAGGGTGTGTTTCTTAAGTAGAAAGGCGCACAACAGCACAAACAACCAACACGTCAACTAACGGCACAACGAAAAACGAAAGAAACGGTGATTAAGTGTATGATAACCTGGACCTCGCTGCTACCAGTATTAGATTTCTATCAGCATCAAAATATTATGTTGACTCTGCCCAGTTTAACGCTAGCTGCAAATACCTCCATTAGCTCCTCCAATTAGACATAGACGAACATCGCACAGACTGAACTAACATGTGCCAGCCACATCGGAAGCCACATGCCGAGGTAGTTATGTGTTTGTGAGCACAGTGCAGAAATCTCAACCATATTATTTAGACTGCAAATCAAGATCTTCGGTTAACTAAAGACAAAACACTAGATCAGGGGTTCTCAACCTGTGGTCGCGAGACCATTCTTGGAGGGTCGCGAGATCATTGAGGATTTTGTGCTTAAATGGCCCTCTGAAAGCTGAAACATGGCTCTTTTTTTTTCCCTGGCAACTTTCGAAATACGGTTCCCCCTTCAATTGGCTGAAATTAGGAAAAAGGTAAACACCTCTTCAATTGGCTGAAATAAGAAAAACGGTAAACACCTGAACTTCTAAACCACAATGTGTCTTATGCCAGTGTGTGCTTAGTGCCGAATCAATGAAACCATCAAAACTAAAACGTCATCTTGAAACGAAGCATCCAGAGCACCAGACTTGAGATCTAAGTTTCTTTCAACGGCATGAAGCAAGCTTGAAAAAAGGATTTGACCCCGGGGGACAATTTCAACAACAAAGTGTGTCGAGTTTAGAGGCTTCGTTTTACGTTGCTTTGGAAATAGCTAAACAAAAGAAACCACAAACAATTGGAGGTACATTTATAAAGCCTTGCACGATAAAGATGGCACATCTGATGTTAGGTGAGGCTGGTGCAAAGAAAATGCAGCAAGTTCCCTTTTCAAATGATACTGTCAAGAGGCGTATTGCACGCATTGTCTTCAAATATCAAGGAACAGGTCGTAGAGGAGATCAAAGCTTCCCCCATGTGCTCGTTCCAGCTTGACGAATCAGTTGATGTGGCATCGTGCTCGCAGTTACTGGTCTTTTGAGATACGCGTTGGAAAAAGATGTGAAAGAAGAATTTTTATTTTGCACCCCATTGAACACCACATCAACAGCTGATGATGTCATGAACAAGGTACCCTCATTTTTTTTTTAAACGAGGGTCTTGAGTGGAAGAATGAGTGTGGCATTTGTACTGATGGTACCCCAACCAAGATGGGATCTAAGTCGGGCTTTCGGGCAAAAGTGAAGGACCAAGAACACACACAAAAGGCATTCACTGCATGATACACAGATATTCACTTGCTTGCAAGACTCTCAATCAATCCCACTTTGAAGGAAACGATGGAATCGACTGTTAAGATTGTCAACTATGTGAAACGCAGCCCCCTAAATACACGACTGTTCAAGGAACTCTGTTCTGACATGAGTGCAGATCATGAAACACTGCTTTTCTACACTGAAGTTCTATGGTTATCGAAAGGAAACGTATTTTGGGTCTTCGGGCAGAGATAGGAGATCAAGTTTATCCTGGAAGTGTAAGGAAAAGATGAGCCCAACCGGCACTTATCAAATGATTTGTGGATCCAAAGACTTGCCTATATGTCTGATATGTTTGACTACCTCAACAAACTCAACTTGAAACTTCAAAGTCAGCAGACACACCTTTCGTTTAAAGACGTTCTGGGTGGCTATCTTTCAAAAGTTCAGAATTGGCACCGGAAAGTTACAGAGGGAAACATTGCTATGTTTACCAACCTTTCACAGCTGTTAAATCCAGAGGAGACCTTGTCTGCCCATCTTCAAGTTGACATTCCAGCACATTTGAACTCACTTGATGATGAGTTCAAGAACTATTTTCCTGACCTTGACTGTGATGAAGAAGCTTTTGTGACAAACCCTTTCACTCCTGGACTAGACATCACTGTCATTGCAGATGACATTCAAGACGAGCTTTTGGAATTGAGATATGATTCGTCAGCACGCAACACGTTTCTTAAGAAATCTCTTGCACAGTATTGGTGTTCACTCCAGGAATCATACCCTTAGGTCAGCAAAACAGCACTTCGAGTCATTGTCCCATTTGTCTCGACTTACCTTTGCGAAAGTGGATTTTGTACCCTAGTCCAACTCAAGACAAAAAGCAAGGAACAAGCTGGATGTTGCTGATGATATGTGCCTTGCTTTATCCAAGACTCCCCGAAAATGTCGAGACGGGTCCCTGAACTACAGACACAGCCCTCTCACAAGTTGTTTTTTTTAATCTGTGTGTGTATGCGTGTGTATGTGTGTGTGTGTGTGTGTGTGTGTGTGTGTGTATGTGTGTGAGTGTGTGTGTGTGTGTGT